CTACTTGACTGGATTACCCCCAGAGACCCTTCCCTTCCTCCCGGCTCTCATCCCATCTCCATGCCTACTGCCTTTGCCACGGATCCCCAGGCTGAAGCCGGCCTTGGCCTCCCTCCTCCACGCCTCCCACCTGCGCTGGCTCCATGAAGTGAAAACACCTGATCCCCTCATGTGTCAGCTGGGACGTGGTCCAGGTTCAGTCTTGGAAGAATGGAGTCAGGACTGTGCCTGGGCCACCAGTGCTGGCCCCTCATCCTCTCCTTTCCCACTGCTTGATGCCCTGCTGCTGGCCCTCCAGGATGCTGCCCCCCTCCCCCATCCTGACACTCATGGGCCCCCTGTTCTCCCTCCCCACCTTTCTCTGATACCTCTGTGGCTGAGAACATAGGCTCCCGTTCTAATGGGGACCAGACTAAAGGACGAAGCTCCAAGGGGAGGTTCATGCAGCAGTGGCTGAAAAGGGAGAATATCTTTGAGGTGGCATCTCGGCGCTCTGGGCTCTCCCATCCCAGGTGGAGGCAGCTGTCCATGCTCTTCTGGCCCATGTGATGGGAGGCGCCCGGGGAGCCCCCTGCTCTGCACCATCCTGAGGCTTCCCTTGAGGCTGTACGTGGGCCACCCGAGCGGGCTGAGATCTGGAAACAGGTCTCCATCAAGATCCAGGTCAATTCGCCCCAGCACAAGGCCCCATGTCCTTGCCTCAGGCAGGGCACCCTTGGCTTCCCTCTGCCGGGCTCTATTGACCAGCCAGACCACCTCCCCCTGGGCTGGGCCTTGGGCTGGGGCTCCGGGTCATACTGCTTTGGACCACAGGGCCTCTACCTGCCATGTGGGAGTAATGAGTAATTTCCTCTCTGTCCTCACTGCCTTCTGGGAGGATCTCCAAAGCCTGGGGACATCACATTTTCCAGATACGAAAACCAAAGACCACAGCAAGGGACGATGGGTCAAGCGCTGAGGAGGCGCTCACAAGCCTGGCCCAGGTGCAGAGGCCTCTCCCTTGAGTGCACTAGATCCTGGTTCCCCATCTTCCCCAGGAGCTTCCCTGAGGCTTGCCTGAGGCCTGAGCTGTTGATGAGTGGGCACCCCGAGGGCTGGACCGAGATGAGAAGGGCAGTGACAGTCCTGGGGAGGAGGGGCTTAGGTCTGAGGGCTCATCCCTCCCATGCCTCAGAGCACCTTCCCTGAGTCTGGGCTAGGTCCTGGGGATGAGATGAGTCAGACTTTTCCCTGCCTTGAATGCCTCACTTTGTACCCCGGGGATGGGGAGTAGGGGGTGGGGGGTTGAAGGGATAAAGAAGTTGCTCAGAGGGGTCCCCGAAAGAGGAGAGGAGTTAGTCATAAGGACAGGGTGAGGGTGGGAATCCAGGTGGACTGGAGAGCTCATTCCTTTTTTTTTTTGGTCCTAGGGATTGAACCCAGCTGTGCTTTACCACTGAGCCACACCCCCAGCCCTTTAAAAAATATTTTATTTATAAACAGGGTCTCTCTAAGTTGCTTAGGGCTTTGCTAAGTTGCTGAGGCTGGCTTTGAATTTGGGATCCTCCTGCGTCACTGGGATTCCACCCGGTGGGATTCCACCCAGGTGTGTGCCACTGTGCCTGGCTCTGGGGAGCTCATTCCTGGGTGGAGAGCTTCTTCCTGCCTGCTATGTTCCAAGCTCTCACCCTTCTGTGGCCTCTGGGGTGAGGGCAGCTCAGCCTTGGGCTGCAAAGAGGGACCACAGGAATGCTTAAGCTAAACAGGCTGAAGAGGGCCTTGCTTCCAGTCCGAGGGGTTATACAGAGACTCCCTCAGCACCCAGCTGCCCATCTTCCTGACTTCAAGCCAGGGAACTCTGAATCTTGGCCCATGAGGGAGTGGGTTCCAGGGGCCCCCGTACCATGAAGACATGAACAAAACTTTGTGTGCATGCATGTGGGAGCACATTGTTCTGGGCTGGGGATATGCACAGGTGAGAAACCTGCTCTGGAACATGAGGGCTGGGGGGAGCTCCAGGACTCAAGAGATCAACCCCTGCACTGATGGATGAGGAAACTAAGGCTCACATAGGAGACATGTTTGGTCTGAGGCCACCGCGGCTGCTGGTCTCTGATCCAGGGCTTTGAGGCTCCATCAGGAGCAGCATTCTTGGTGCCATGGAGGGCACACTGAACCCACATCTCTGGGGAGCAAATCAAAGGGCATATCCCTATGCCCTGTTCCCAAAGGTACTGATATACTGTCTTTGCACACCAGAATTTAGGGAGGTTTGTACTAGAGAACAGGCACTATGTATACACATGTGAGCTCAAGTGTGCAGTACTTTTGGAGCTGATTCTGGAAACCTGGTTAAGAGTGAGGCCCTGAGGGCCAAACAGTACTTTGCTACTTACTTACTGGGTGACCTTGGGCAAGTCATTGCACCTCTATGGTTCAGTTTCTCCAGCCAGAAAAGGGGCAGAATAATACCACCAATTACCTTATGGGATTGTGGTGGGTATGAAATGAGCCCTAAGCAGTGCCTGCCTTGGGATACTGCTCATTCTTCCTACCTTCCCTGATTTGGGAACTGAGGATGACAGGCTGGCTGGGTGCATCTTCTCAAAGTAAGGATGAGCTTTATGTCTGTATCACATTCTGGGTTGGTCAGTTCTGTCTGAGGAGCCATTGGGCTTCCTTCCTCTCAGAGCGCCTCTTCGAAGGAAAGCCCACCGATCTGCTTTCACAGTCCTTCTGGCCTGAGCACTGGCCCTGGGAGCACAGTCTTCAAGGCTGGGCCTCATCAGACTTTGGACTTCCCCAGGCCCAGGGAAAGGGCAGGTGCTCAGTGAGATGACCCGTCGACCTGAGGCCGGGCAGCTGCAGCTGGGACCTTGAAGCTTGATGAGCGGGAGTCTGGCCCGGGAAACTTAGTGAAGCTGCATGTAAGGCTGGCTCTTGGAGGGCCACTGGAGTGGACATGGGCTGGGAAGGACGGCTCCACCAGTCAGTCATTGTACATTGGGGCTATGGAGAGGCAGATAGATCAGACCCTCAGCCCCTGTGGGGCTTCTGTTCTAATGGAGGGCGGGGAAGATAGGGATAGAAGATAAATGAGTCAAACAAGTGGTTTTGGACACTGTTCCAAATGAAATGGAGGACAGTGCAGATAAGGGACACGGAGTCTGGGGGAGGGGAGGGAAGGCTGTGATTTCAATAGTGTGATGAGATGGGTCCCACTGAGGTGCCACTGGAGCTGAGATCTGCAGAGTGAAGACAGCTAGGTGGGCGCAAGAGGGGTCCAAGCACCAAGAACAAATGTCTCACTAGTTGGCACGACACGAACTGCTAGTAACAGGAAACCCCAAACAAAATAATTTAGTCTGAGCTCATTTTTCAGTCCATTGCAGTTGTTCCTCGGGACTCGCAGGATCCTCCATGTGGTGATTCAGGGATTCAGGTTCCTTCAGTGGTGTCTTAGCAGCTCAGCTCTGCCCACCCACCACTGTAGTCATCTGTTTCCCTTTAGCAGGGGGATGGAGGCAGGGGCAGGATCTAGGCTTCTTGGCCATCCTCAAGTTCCCTTGAGAAGACCTAGCCACATGGCCTGTTAAGTGTTGGGAGGCGTCTTCCCTGGCTCAGGGAGTGGCTTCCCAGCCCCAGCTCTACACTGTGGAGAGTGGCTGGAGGCCTCTGCCACGGCCCAGACTTGGGAGCATGTCTAGAAGCTCAAGGAGCAGCAAGGAGGTCAGCTGGCTGCAGTGAAGAGAGAAGTGGGGCGGGGCAGATGGTATGGTGTCACACAAGCCATCACTGGGTCTTTGGCCTGTTCTCTGAGTAACTGGGAGATCCTGGAAGTTCTGAGCAGGGGAGGGACAGATCTGCCTTATGTGGACATGGTCCCTCTAGCTGCTGTGTGGGGAACAGGGGGTGGGGGTGTGTGTGCTGGGCGGGGCCGTGGGGGGTGGTGGCAGACAGGAGCCTGGTAGGAGGTGGCTGCAATGGTCAAGTGAAAGGCTGTGGTGACCTGGACTAGGGTGGGAAGTGGTGGAACCAATATCCTTTGAAAGCCAGGAGAGTAGGACTTCCTGGAAGGATGGATGCTGGGTAAGAAAAGCCAATCTGGAGCTGGCAGAGCAGCTTAGTGGGAGAGTGCTTGCTTAGTATGAAGGAGACCTGGGTTCAATCCCCAGCACTGCAAGCAGCAAGGAAACAAAAAGAAGGCAAGGCTGAGACCCACACTCTGGTGTGGGCACTGGGGAGCTGGTGCAGATTTCTTTTATGGGGGGGAAGCAGTGGGAGGTTTTGGATATGGTTACGTGGGGGCCAAGAGTTTGCTTTTGGATGTGTTGAGATGCTACTTAGGCTTCCAAGCGCACACTGGCCTCTCAGAGTCTCAGTTCCTTGCCTGGAAGGTGGTAAAGAGGCTACCTGACAGGATGGCTGAGAGGCCTTGGTGAGAGGGGTTCTATGGGTATGGACTCAGGACTGAGCGCAGCTGGTGGAGGGAGCTGGTGGTGTGTGTGGGGTGGAGGGAGGAAGAGGGGCCTCTCAGAATGTTTCCCTTTAGCTGGAGGATGGACGTAGGAGCGGGATCTGCACCTTACACCTTGGCCATCTTCTTTTCCGTTAAGAAGACCTGGTCACGTGGCCCATTAAATGCCTGGGCCTTTTTCTTTGTCTCCTGCTTCTTCTGGTCACCCAGGGTCAGATCATTGTGCTGGAGCTGGTGTCACTGCCAGGACTGCAGCCCCCAAGGGTGTGGAGCAAACTCCAGTCTAGTAAGGAGCCCACCGTGGCCCAAGGTTTGGGCCCTGGCCCGGGCTCACTACTCCTCACCCCTTGGTCCTAGCACCTCCACACTCTGGTTTCTCGTCTGTCAAATGGGCTGAGCTATGGCTTCATCACCCAGCCATGGGGAAACACTTGGGGTACTTGCAGGTGCCTGGATCGCACAAGCCACACAAGCCCCTGCCCAAGTGGAGAGCCCTGCGTGCCCTCGATCTTTGGTGAGAACAGACTCAATGAGCAATACACCCTCGTGGGGGGGAGGCACCCCAAAGCATAATACTTTTATTCCCATCAGTGCTGCTGACAGGGCCTGACCCTTTACAAAGAAAATGTTAGGAAAACAGAAGTGGGGTGGGGACCACGGGAGCCTCCACCCTCACCGTCCCACCCTGTCCCCACTCTCTGGTGAGGGGTGAGGCACTGCGCAGGTGCAGGTGCTGGTCCCCTCGAGGCTCCTGGGGCTGGCCACCTGGCAGCATGGAAGGTGAGGGCAGGGAGGCGGGGCCAGCAGAGCTCTTCTGGCACAGGCGGCAAACGGAGAGAGGGCTGCTGGTGGGCTGTCCCCTTGTGACTGGTCCTGGACTTTCGGTGCCTGGTTCAGGCCTCACGGGGGCCCCTGCTGGTTCCGCCTCTCCTCCAGAGCCCTGCACACCCACATGGACACCACTGTGGCATTTCCGTCATTGAACTGCACGATGAACGGGTGGCCCTGCAGGGAAGAGGAGCAGGAGTGAGCTCAGCCTCCAGACTTCCACACACCTGCCAAGGCCTGTGCTCAACCTGGATCTGATGTCTTTTTCTCAGAGAGGTAAAGAGGGTAGCTTTCAGCCCCATTTCTCACCCTAGATAGCAGGCCCAGGCCGGGACAGTGACCTGTCCTAGTCCCCAGGGTGGACGTCTGGAGCATTTACTGTCACGCCTCTGCTACCTTCTCCTGAAAGCTCCTTAGGGTGGGGCCTGCCTGACTCCACACTGTCTGGTCCTTATTCAGATCGGTGTCACTCCCACAGCCACCCAGCCAAGGCCTGGCCCTTGTGTGGCCAGCTTTCCGGTCCAGTTGCTGCCCAGAGACCAAAGAATCATCCTGTCAGGGGCTTTGTCAATCCCTTTTAGTTTTCCCCTTTGTCTACAGCTCCCCTATAAATAAACCACAGTCTGCAGCTGGAGGGAAGGTGAAACCCCAGGGGGAGGGAGAGGGGACAGGAGGTGTGGGGCGTACACATCCTTCTGGCTGGGGCAGAGGGCTGGCCTTCGGAGGGGCCAGCTCTGTCTCCACGCGGCCTGTCTGGTTCTAACCTACTTAGCCCACAGGCAGGCCAGGTTATATTTAGCCAGCCCCCTCCCTGCTGTTCTGAAGCACTAAGATCTACACTCACAAATCTCCGGGCCTCCAGGGAGTTCCCAGGGAAGGCCAGAAGAAAGCACGGAGGGCCACAGGGCTGAGCTGGCCACAAGTCAAAGGTGGAGGGAAAACTAAAAAGCATTCTCTTCCATCCTCCCCAAGTGGCTTTTTGGCTCAGGAATTTACACCTGGCGGTTCCCCATGCTGGAGCTGGGAACTTGCTAGAAGCGGCATACTTCGGAGCAACAAGCTCATCACACTCTCTTCATAATGGCCAGCAGGGCTGCAGGCCCACGGTGCTCTGACCCCAGCACTGGCAGGAGCTGCGGAGGACTAGGTTGGAGTAGGAAGGGGGCTACTATGGCCCATGCAGACCTCAGGTCAGACCTGAGATGTCCCTGGGTTCAGGAAGAAAGAACGCCCAGATCTCCTCGGTCTGGGCTGCTGCTGTCCGTTCATGGGGTTTGCCCAGTCCAGGTAAGAACTGCTCCCAGGTGCAGCTGTGTGGGTCTAGTTCAGAGGCACTCTCAGAGGTGCCAGGAGGATGGGACCTCAGCTTAGAGGGTGCCCCGGCTCCCAGCCTAGTGTGGGACCCGCCAAGGCCATGGTGGAGCTAGGCCTGGAGCCCAGCGGGGCAGGCCTGTGACTGCGCATGGCATTCTGTGGGGCCGTGGGGGGCGGGGCTGATGGCCAGGTTGGGTGGGTGTGGGTGGGTGGCGCAGGCCTGTGGGACTGAGGCCGGAGGCAGTCTATCTGGGTTCCCGCAGGTTCTTCCTCTGTATATGCCCACCCTCCACCTGCTTCCTCTAATGGTGGCTTAGATAGCGCAAATCCTTCCTGAAGTCCAAGTGCGCACACTTTCTTTTCAGGAGAGGTGACCTTGTGCCCTTCTGAAGAACAAAGGGAGAAGCTGTGCTCAGAAGCCATGGGCCCCTCCCCCCAAGCCTGGGGTAACAGTGTCACTTTCCCAGAATGCCGGGTGACTTTGGGGCCATATGCTCCATCTCTGTTATCATCTGTTCGGGAACAAGCAGAGCGGAACTGCAGGAGGGGACTGGAGGCATTCCTTCACGTTACAGGAAAGGCCGGTGCCCGCTCTGTGGGGAGGTGCTGTGTCCAGTGCCCAGGTGGTGGGTGAAGGGGAGAGGGCTGCTGGGCTGCTGGCCTCCCGGCTCGGCCTCTGTTGTCACCCCTGCCTCTTGGTGATGAGGCACACCAGAGCCTTGATGGTTTGCACACCCTGCAAGGAAGTGACCTGGACAACTCGTCTGTCCCCAGCCACTAGGACTGGTTTAGGTGGGTGCCCAAGAGGAAGATGTGAGAGGGAGAATCAGAGCGGGAGGTGCAGGGGGACAGACAGAAAGCACGTGAGCAGTGCTCTCTGTGGCTGGGCAGCTGCCAGGCTGGAGCTGCTCCGTGTCTTGTTGGCCTCGCTGCCAGGCAGTGGACACCACACAGAGGACGCCACACTCACTTCCTGCCTCCTCTCAGGGCACCACAACAGTTAAACCAGGGAGGGCTGAAGTATTCTGCTCCACAGATTTTGCCACAGAAGTTGGGGGCCAGAATGAAGGCAAAGGAAGGGACTGCAAGAGAGAGGATGCGTCCGACATGGGACAGGACAGGACAGGAGGAGCCAACGGCAGCCAGAGACGGCCAGTGTCACTGCTGCAGACCCCCACCAGAGGGGCCAAGCGCACGAGGAGGGTGCTGGTGAAAGTGAGGCACATCATGAACAGGGGCTGTGAGTCTCCATTCTGCTCCCTCCGTTGCCTGGGTGCTGTCTGGCCTGCCTCAGAGCTGGATGCTCACCTCTCTGCTGAAGTTCCCTCCATCCCAGGTTTTTTTTTTTTTTTCTTTTTTTGATACTGGGGATTGAACCCAGGGGCCCTTTTCTACCAACCTACATCTCCTTTTTATTTTTTGAGACAAGGTTTGGCTAGGTTACCCAGGCTGGCCTTGAACTTGGGATCCTCCTGCCTTGGCCTCTAGAGTCACTGGGATTATAGGAGTGCACCATCACGCCTGGCCTGAAGTTCCTAATTCTTGCCCACCTATTCCATCGTTATGAGATGCCTTCCCAAAGGAAAGCTAGGTCACTCCTGAGCCCCTGTCTAGAAGCCAGAGGTGGAAGGGCTAGTGTGGCCTGCTAGGTAGGACAAGGGCTTGGAGCCTGCTGCAGGGCTAAGTCTGGACTCAGTCCAGTGGTCCGGTGCTCACGTAAGTGGCACCTCACTGTCTGCTTTTGGGCTTTGAGTTTCTTCCTAGATAGGACTTTTTTGGGTCCCCACATTTTCTTCTCATTATATAACTTTCCTAAAGATCATCATACGTTTGAATCAATTCATAACTCATGACTGCAAGGCCTGATGCATGCCTAGCACATAGTAGGCTCTCAAATAGCGCCTGTGACATGAGAAAGTTTCTTGTACATCTGGTATGTCTGTATCTCCCCAGGCACTTGCTGTGCAGAGGTCAAGACCTCCCAGATGCACACGGCCAACGTGAACCTTCCCGGCAACCCTACCTTACAGACAAAGAAAACCAAGGCTCCAGGAAACATGAGGATGGGGGACAAGGCCACAGAGCCAGAAGGTGGCAGGGTCAGAGCTTAAATCCAGGACACTTTCCCACCACGGAAGACACTACACTGCCCCGTGACCACTGCTATCCTCCAAGGTCGGGCACAGTGAGTTTTATATTTCTAATTTTTAAGAGTAGCTTGTACATTGTAGGCACTCAACAACTAATTTTTAACTAAAATTGGGAGGGAAAAAAGCATCCTTGCATCCTCCCTGTTCAGATTCGTAGGTGTCAAGGATTTCTAGTCAGTTATTTGGTACTCAGCAACTCGACTAAGTATTAACATTATCCCCATTTTACAGACAAGGAAGCTAAAGCACAGAAAGATCCACGAGCTTGTCCAAGGCCACAGAGCTTGTCCTTGGCATTGCATCTCCAAAGCCCAATCCTTTTTTTTTTAAAATTTTTTAATATTTTTTTTTTTTTAGTTTTCGGCGGACACAACATCTTTGTTTGTATGTGGTGCTGAGGATCGAACCCGGGCTGCATGCATGCCAGGCGAGCGCGCTACCACTTGAGCCACATCCCCAGCCCCAAATCCCAATCCTTGCTGGAATTTATGGTACAAGAGATCACCTCCCCAGTTTATTTAAAGCATGGGATGAGCTACTGTCACTTGACCTTCATTTTCCTCATATATAAAATGAAGATAGTAGCAGTACCTACTGCATAGGTTTGTTGGAAAGATCAACATAATAAAATAAAATATACAAAGCTCATAGCACCCTGAGCAAGTGTTCAGGAAGTAGTAAATGTAAGTGAATAGTGGAAGGTGGGTGTGCAGATAGACAGAGACAGCACAGGTTGTCTGTCATTTAGTATCAGTGACTAGTTGGTTTCTTTAAAGTTGATATAAAAAGGATAATATATTAAAGGAGATAGTTATCCAATAATGCTCTCCTAAATGGTTAGTGCAATTTGCTTCTCTAACCTTGCTGTTACTCAACGTTATGTAACAGGTCTCTCATACAAAGATAGCTCTTGAGCAAGGTGTGGTGGTGCATACCTGTAATCCTAGCCACTTGGGAGGTTGAGGCAGGAGGATTGAAAGTTGGAGGCCAGCCTGGGCAATCATACAGTGAGATACTGTCTCAAAATAAAAAGGGCTGGGGGTGTATGTAGCTCAGTAGTAGAGCACTTGTGTGAGGCCCTGTGTTCATTCCTTAAACACACATACACACACACACAGATACATGCACACACATATATACACACAGATAGCTCAAAGATTTCAGTTTCCTATTTAGAAGAGTAAAACCTCAGTCATTTATCTTGATTCATCTCCCATCTTGATTCCTCTGCATGGGAGAGGATGCCCTAGACCTTGGCCCAGGTATCTCCCAGTCCAGATCTAAATGAATAACGAGTCCAACAATCTGCTCAAGGGGACAGCAGGGCAGCCCTGTAATTAGGTGGGGGCCTGCAAAAGGTGCCTGCATGGGCCCTCACTCTCCTTCCCTCTTGTGACCTGGGAGCCTTGCTTAAGACTCTATGTACTACTCCAGCCCTCCCCTCTCAGCAAGAATGGAGGACCATTAGGATTGGATGGGACCTCGGAGACCTGCGGAGTCACAGGATGTGAGGTATGTGGCATTTCTATAGATGTTTCATTCAAATTCCATTATTTTAAATTACATTAAAAAACGATTAAAGTAATATATACACTCAGTTATGTTCATTTCAAAGTGTTGCATTGAATAATGATGATTTGTCATCTTGCATTGTGATGTTATTATTATTATTTGCAGGTTTTGGAGCAAAGTCTGTCAACTTGTTAAATCTGT